AAATCACTTTGTTTCTGTTTATGCAGCCCTAGCCACACCTCCCCTGGCTATCATTGACAGAGCCTGCATGAAATAAAAATGGTTTCACTTTCAAACAGATGTAATTTACCTTAAATAACTGTATCTCAATCTCTAAATTGAACTTTAATCACATACAGGAGGCTCTTGCAGAATCTAGCAAGCTATTAACATAGCAGGGGATAAGAAAATTTTAATTAAACAGAACTTGCAATAAAGAAAGCCTAAATAGGGCTCTCTTTACAGGAAGTATTTATGGAAGGCTGTGCAAGTCACATGCAGGGAAGTGTGACAAGGGTTCATAAACAAAGGGATTTAACTCCTAAATGGCAGAGGATTGAGCAGTGAGACTGCAGGTGCATGTTCTATACACCAAGACTGCTCCATTAAGCTAAAGTTGTTCAGGTGACTATAGTGTCCCTTTAACAGCTCTTTAATTTTCCAACCACCGATGTTAAGCTTGTAGGTCTGTAGATTGAGCCATTTAACCCTTTTTTAATATAGGCACAAATCTTAATGTCTGCTATCTCCAGGTATGATTGCAGTAAAAAAAGAACCCTGAGAGATTAAAAACAGTGATAAGGATAATTCCACACTAAGCTCCCTAAGAACTTGTGGGTGAATACCATCTGGACCAGGGGATTTAGCTGCATTTACTTTAATAATTGACATAGCACTTAAACCTGTGTTAGCCAATCAACCTGTTTGCCGTAAAGCTCTTGTAACAGGAATTTGCAAATGTACAGCAATTGAATATTCTTATGTTCTGCTATATACCGAAGAAAAAAAAATGTTTTAGATTTTTGGGATTGGTTTTGATCTCTTTTGCCATTAGCTTTTCATTTTCTTATTTAGGCTATTTAATTGTCCTTTTGCAAGCCCTGTTGGCGTGCTAATATTTGTTATGGAATGCTATTGACCCATCTGATTTAAATAATTGAAAATATATTTTCTTATTGTTTATTACTTGACTGACCCCTTAATAATTCACATTGATTTTAATTTGCTTCTTTCATATTTGTTTTTCATTAGTATTTATTGAGAAATATACTTTAGTAAAATTTGCGTGAAGACCTTTTATTATCTGTGTTGTTGCAAATAGTTGAATAGTTCCTGCCAGTCAATTTGTTGTAAAGATGCCCTTATCCAATTAAATTTAGCCTTTTTAATATAAAGCATTTTTTGTAAAGCCCATGCCAATGTGTATCTTAAATAATACCATATTATAGCCACTATTTCCCAAGTGTTTGATAGCACTGTATAACACACACCCCCAAACATGCATTTCTTTCATTTCTACAAACAGTTACACAAAAGAAAATCTGTTTACAACTGTGAATTGGTGATTCCAAGTTGGTGTTAAGTGGTGGTGGCTAGCAGTGGGACCCTGCATTAAACATTAACAACAGTGTCACACTGCCTTCTTTCTACAATAACAAAAAAAACTATTAGCAACCTTAAGTATTTTAGGGTTATTCCCTTAAGTAAGAATTCATAGTTCATTCAAAGTGAATTTCAAATTTAAGGCCTGATTAGCCAAACTGAAACCATAGCTGACTTAAAGATTTTTTGCACTTCTGCTATTTTTACCTTGAATTTGAAATTTACTTTGAATTAATTTATAAATTTCACTAGTGAATAATTTGGATCAATGACAAAATGCCAATCTTCTATCCCCCACTCAAGATGGTTTCAAGTACCTCCGTCAGTAACTAACTATACTCAGCAGTAAGTACTAGAATCATTGATCCTGGCTATGTCCCACTCCCACACAGGCACAAGAAGGAAAGAACATTGTGGTTTGTCATTGTTGGTCTGTCTCTCTCAGGAGCTGCTGATACTAAATTGCTAAAATAAATCAATGGAATGTTTCCTTTTGGAGTATAGTAAAAAAAAATTGTGACACAATTAAAATCTTAAGAGGGGCGGCAAATGGACCTTGCCTAGGACGGCATAATTCCTTGCACCTGCCCTGGTCACTAATGAAAGCTAGAATGGCAGATTTAAATTTCAGATGAACAGTTTACCTCAAAATTAATTTCCAACTCTAGCGTACATACACATACACAGAATGCTGCAAACAAGATGGCATTCTAATCTATTATGGAATCAGTACAGTTCTAATGCAAAGAATATGGTTACTACTTGCTTTAAAAGTCCTAAGTGAAAAATGATTTACATTGTAAGGAGCTAGCAAGTAGATCAGTGTTATTTTCTAAAAAACACAGAATAATAAATAGTGAACTGCATACCTTACAAATGGAACACTATTTACATGTGATAGACTGTATAGAAACTTGCAGGAATCATATAAGTATACCATAATACAGTATATTAAACTAAACTGCTTTGAGAGAAAAAAATATATAATATTTGATGTAACGTATTCTTGTGTGTTGAATTATCAGTCCTGCCTCCTAGAAAATACAGAATTCCTCAAGAAATAAAAATATAGAGTTAAAGGACCACTATAGTGCCAGGAAAACATACTCGTTTTCCTGGCACTATAGTGCCCTGAGGGTGCCCCCACCCTCAGGGACCCCCTCCCGCCCGGCTCTGGGGAGAGGAAAGGTAAAAACTTACCTTTTCCAGCGCTGAGAGCCTCCTCTCTCCTCCCATCCTCCCCCGGCTGAATGCGCGGCAAGAGCTTGCCAAGAGCCAGTCTCATAGGAAAGCATTTACAATGCTTTCCTATGGACGCTGGCGTGCTCTCACTGTGAAAATCACAGTGAGAAGCACGCAAGCGCCTCTAGTGGCTGTCAATGAGACAGCCACTAGAGGATTAGGGGGAAGGCTTAACCCATTCATAATTATAGCAGTTTCTCTGAAACTGCTATAATTATGAAAAAATGGGTTAACCCTAGAAGGACCTGGCACCCAGACCACTTCATTAAGCTGAAGTGGTCTGGGTGCCTAGAGTGGTCCTTTAAGTACAGTTCAGCAAAGAGGAAAAGAAAGAGCATTTCTAAAGACAAATTCTTTATGAAATGCTCATAAAGACTGAGTTGTAATTTAATTGATTTCATTTAATTTCAATGCAGTCAAAAATATTGTAAGCCAGTTAGGGACTACTTTGTCCTTCCTTCCCAATAACTCACAGACAACCAAATTTTGTGGGTATGGGCAATGGCCACAGCTTTATTAATAAACCAGCATAACATAATAACCAATGTCAGCTGTCAGTATTCCCCAGCAGACAGCTACCAATCAACTCCATCTTCCCGAGCCTCTTCAGCCTTAAGTCCGTCCTCAACTGGACCAGGCTGCGACTCCCAAAACCTGTCCGGGGAATGTACTCCGTTCCAATTGCTGATGAAGGAAAGACCGCAGCTGTGACAAAATAAACAGAAAGAAACAAAGATAGAAACAACAACACAGTAACCAATCACATATTCCACCCCACACCTACCCAAGGAGGGTGGGCGGGAAACAGCACTGTCATGGTCCCTCAGCATGCTCTTCAGTGCTCTGGTAAGTCTTCTCCCAGTCTCCCCGGTCCAGGTGCATCCCCACCATTGTGTCCTTTATGATGCCATGCCATCCCTCCTTATTTATTACGGGGGGTTGGCCTTTTCAGGTCTTTGCTGCATGGGATGACTTCAAAGTACTGCAGGGGCCAAGGATGCAGGGTAGGAATTGGCACCTCTATCAGACATGTAGGTAGGAGCCTAATTTGCCTAAAGGGAAATGACTTTCAGAGCAAAGTTGGGTCTTTGCAATAATGCAAGGTATCTAGAGTGCCTAGAGCAGGGATCCCCAAACTTCGGCCCTCTAGATGTTGCTGAACTACAACTCCCATGATTCTCTGAATGGAATACATAGCCAGAGAATCATGGGGGCTGTAGTTCAGCAACATCTGGAGGACCAGAGTTTGGGGATCCTTGGCCTAGAGTGACCCATTAAGACAGACCTTTAAAAATAGTTTTTTAGTCTCATATAAGAAGGGTGTCTAGTAGGTGAGTGTCAGCTGTTCTGTTTGGCCTTAACCACTTTCCTTTATATTCTCAGTTTCTCTGTCTGTATAATGGTTAAACACATACTGCTTACAAGGAAGGTTGTCAAACATGGCAATTTATTTTATTAAATAGACCTTGCATGCAGGCCCAGCACAACTAATTAAATAGGGCAGAGTGGTGCAAACGCCCTGACTTGGGTTAACTTCATACTTGCATAGCATAACGGAGCCTCTTATTAAATTTGAATTATAACATAACCTATGCACATTGAAAAACAGGGACATATTTTCCTCACCGATCAGCTTGGCTCTAAATGATTTCACATTCCAGACTATTATTTCTCATTAACTTCATTTTCTTTTACCTAACCCACTGAGCAAGAATAGAGAAGGGGAGGAGAGGTTGGAGGGCAAAGGAAAGCGAGAGAGAAAAACACGAAGCAGATGATGTTAAGTATGAGTACAGGGGATTAATGAAGGGTAAGGTAGGCAGGTTGTAAAACTGATGCAGATTGGAATTTGAAAGAGCTGTACAGTGCAGGTTTAAGAATTGAGGATTAATTCTCTAAACAGTGAACGGATGTAGTGAGATGGCAAAATTACCAAAATATTAAAGCTGGATGGTGGTACATAATAAATTATCTAGGTCAGAAGAGTTTGTGACTTTTTTGCTTCAAATCTCTTGTAGAGTGAAGGGACACTCATCTGTCCAACTAAAAATAACTTAACTAATAAACTTAAAATCACTCTTTAGTAGATATACCTTGAATAAGAACATGCATACACTTAATTATGCAAAGCTACAGAACTCTTGTCTGAAGTCTCAGCAAGCCCTCCCCTTCTCAGCCAGCCAAGACATTCTGTGCGTTAGGGGGCTGCAATGCCCCAATAATTTTTCATTTTAGTCAAGTTTCCTTAGCCCATTTCTTTTTTAATAGATCCCTCAAAAAAATAGAATTTTGATATCAAGTTGTGAATTCGTCAACAGTCACTGTTTTATGAAAAATATCCTCAGACATTTAAAAGCGCTTCTGAATAATGAAATATTGAGGACTGAAAAGAGAAATATATACATATATCAGCTACAACATTAAAACCACTGAAAGGTGAAGTGAATAACATTGATTATATCATTACAATGGCATCTATTAACGGGTGGGATGTATTAGGCAGCAAGTTAGCAGTTCGTTCTTGAATTTCATGTGTTTGAAGCAGGAAAAATTAACAAGTGAAACGATCTGAGTGACTTTGACAAGGGCCAAATAGTAATGGCTAGAACACTGGGTGAGAGCATCTCCAAAACTGCTAGTCTTGTTTGGTGTTGCCGGTATGCAGTAGTTAGTTTCTACCAAAAGTTGTGCAAGGAATGACAACCGGCATCAGGGTCATGGGTGCCCAATGCTCATTGATTTACGCGTGGAGCAAAGGTTAGCCCATCTGGTCCAATCACACAGAAGAGCTACTTTAGCTCAAATTGCTGAAAAACTTAGTGCTGGTCATGATAGAAAGGTGCCAAAAGACAAAGTGCTTTGCAGTTTCCTGCGTATGAGGTTACATAGCCGCCGACTGGTCAGAGTGCCCATGATGAATCCTGTCTACTGCAAAAAGTGTCTTCAATGGGGACAATGGAGCAAAAGAAGAAGGTTGCCTTGTCTAATGAATCATGTTTTCTTTTAGATCAGGTGGATGTCCAGGTGCATGTGCATCGTTTACCTGAGGAAGAGATGGAAGCAAGATATACTGTGGGAAGAAGGCAGGCCAGTGGAGGCATTGTTATGCTGGGGGAATTTTCTGCTGGACTGGCTTCAGTCCTAGCATTCATGTGAATGTTACTTTGACACCTACCACCTATCAATAGATTGTTGCTGACCACATACACACCTTCATGGCAGTGGCCTCTTTCAGCAGGATAATCGCACCCTGCCACACTGCAATAATTGTTCAGAAATGGTTTGAGGAACATGACAAATAGTTTAAGGTGTTGCCTTGCCCCCCAAATACTCCAGATCTCAATCTGATTGATCATGTTTTGAATATACTGGAAAAACAAATCCATTCCACGGAGGCCTCATTTTGCAACAACCAGGACGTAAAGGATCTGCTGCTAATATGTTGGTGCCAGATACCACAGGACACGTTCAGAGGTCTTGTGGAGTCTATGCCTTGATGCATCAGAGCTGTTTTAGCAGTTCGAGGGGGCTTATATGATATTAGTGTTACGGTACCTCCAGTAATAAAATGTACAAACCGCCGTTTAGCGAATGCTCCCCGTTCGCAATAATGTGGTCGGGTAGCGGGTATAGTAAAACCATGCGAACCGCCAGCTAGGGAACACTCCAAACTCCCGAACGGTACCTGTACGGCTCTTTCCCTTCACGAGCTCCAAATCCACGAATTGACAATAGTAACCGAACGCCAATATCTTCCAAGCGGCAAATAATCCAAAGAAGCAGTCTCTAGTCGCCGGTAATAAAATCCCCCCAATAACGAGACCAAGCTCCGCTTTGAGGGTAAAACACGAACTGATTTACTGTGGGCTACGTGCCCGGTATTTATGCAGGTCTCCCACTTGGTGGACACTCCCCTAGGGGACCAAATGGGAGACTGAAATTACAGAAAGACATGGGGACATTTTGGACACACATCCCCACAATATTCCCATCATGCATCACAGTTCCCTCCCCTCTGCTCGGGGGATAATTGGGAAGTAATTCAATTATCTCCCCGAGCAGAGGCAAATCGCCATTTTAAATACAAGTCACAAAACACATAAAAATCTATAACTTTATAACTGCCGAACATACTGCATTCGTGTAACACATCCCCAGATAGCCTGGATCTGAGTGCATATTATTGGCGAATAGCGCTCAGATCCCATTCGCATAGTTCAATCGCCATGGAGTCAAAGTCTATTACAGTTCTTCGGTATGCGATTGACTCCATGGGACGGCTATCTGGGTTAAGTCCATTCGTGTTGTTGAATCTCCCGAACGGCCGGCATTCGTATGCTTTTGTCGATTGAGAAGGGGAGGTCGACGGCTTCAGCGGTGTTCGGTTGAAAAAGTGTCCGTTTTCAGATCCATGAAATAATCGTCGAACACCGCTGGTCTTTCGCATGGTTAAAATGGCCGCCGCCTCGTGGTCGACATACGAACGACGACCACCCGGCATTCGGTTTTAATTGAGAAGTGTCTGTGGTTAACCGCAACGTTCTAATGGGGATCACTATGTTAACCAGCAGCACACTTCTCTTCTGGGTGGCCGTCCGTTCGGTAGTTTCGTTCGACAAAACCGACATTCCCTTAAACAAAGCATACGAATGGGGAAATTCATGTAACTGGCAAAGCAGACGAACACAGTACTTTTAATCCAGACAGATGGGTCTGTCACAATTAGTTAGGTGGTTTTAATGTCAGGTCAGTTTATTTTAGAGCAAAGTATTGGAAACTTATTTACCTCTGACTTTTTCACAGTTTGGCTTTTATTTAGCTATTTTGCACAATTCCGAGTTTAAAACACTCTCTGACACATAGAGTAGATACATAATTTGATTTCCTATTTTATTCATGACAATATTATCATTGCTCACACAGTTAACAGTAAATGTGCCTTTACATTCAAGGATGAGTGCTTAGCACTAAAGAAGGTTGAAATTTCTACAAAAAAATAAATATTATTATATGATTCACCTCCTGTGGGAACACCTACAAATACATTTAATAACTTTATTGTCATATATAATGCATCAAGGGTTCCCAGAACCATGTGTAAGTCTGTGTTTCCAAGTACAAGTAACATCTCTCAAGGGAACTTTAAGAATTAAAGTTTCAACAAGTGAAATTAAATTTCACTTTATAACAAGTGATTTCCTATGTAAATCTTTGCTCTACTAGATTTTAAGGACCATCTTTATCAATATAAGCTTGTCAAAATTATTTTGTCAGTTGCTTGCTAATATATGTACCATTTGTATAATTGTAAAATACTGCAGAAGATGTTGCGAAAACTGCAAATAATGTTATTGTGCATAATAATTAAGCTATCAGACTATGATAATCTGTGGCTTGAACAGATAAAGGATTTATTTTAATGTTATTATAGCATCAACATGCAACTTTGTCCCCAAATAATGAATAACCCTATCAAATTTAAAGTATCACTCCTACCTGCTTTTAAACTTTTATTATTTTTGTTTATATTGTCCTATTGTTCACTTGTTACTTAGCCCCCTCCCTTTATTATTTCTGTTGTGGTTCCACAGTATTATTCATGATCTGTAAAATTTCTCTAGATTTAGAGTATCTCTCTCTTAATGAATATGTGCAGTGGATAAAATGATAGCACATAGAGCAAATTTTGAACATTTTTAGTATAAAAATATGCATGGTTTATAATAGCAACATCTATCTTTTAGGACAGGGGTCACCAACATGTGATACATATACCTCAAAGGGTACAATCCAGTGCCTGAGGGGCTACACATGCAGGAATCGGTAATGGCAGCCCTGCACCACTGTCACTTCCTCCCAGTTCAAACATACTCTGAGCCACGGAGGAGGTGAAAGCTGCAAGGGGAAGCCGGACTGAGAGCAAGCAACCTAATTCCCAACAGCCCCCGGCATGGAATCTAACCGCATGCTTTCTAAAGGTAGGACTGAACTTGATGGACGCAAGTCTCTTTTCAGCTATGTAACTATGTAACTATGTAACTATGTAACTATGTAACTATGACCTGGAGGTTGGTTAAAATCTTGACATGTATGTCAGATTTCGGTATCTGTATGTATGTAGTATTTGTATCTGTATGTGTGTCAGTGTGTGTATCTGTATGTCTGAGTGTGTGTGTGTCAATGTGTGTATCTATGTGTGTATCTGCATGTCTGTGTATTATTGTGTATACCTATGTGTATGTGTGTGCCAGTGTGTGTATCTGTATGTCTGTGTATCATTGTGTATACCTATGTGTTTGTGTTTGTGTGTGCCAGTGTGTGTATCAGTATGTCTGTGTATCTGTGTATGTGTCAGTGGGTATCTGTATGTATGAGTGTGTGCATCTGTATGTCTGTGATCTTTGCATGTGTCAGTGTATGTACATGTATGTCTGTGTATGCGTTATTGTGTATATCTGTATGTCTTTGTATTTCTGTATGTGTCAGTGTGGGTATCTGTATGCCTTTGTATTTGTGTATGTGTCCGTGTGTGTATCTTCATGTCTCAGCACCTGTATGTATCCCATTGTGCATATCTGTATAGCTGTGTATCAGTGTGTATCTATATGTGTGTCAGTGTGTGTATCTATGTCTGTACATCTGTATGTGTGTCAGTGTATGTATCAGTATGTCTGTATCTGCATGTTTGTCAGTGTGTCAGTGTATCTGCATGTGTGTCAGTGTGTTGGTGCAACTCTATGTGTGTCAGTGTTTGCATCTGTGTGTCTGTGTATCTCCATTTGTGGCAGTGTATATGCGTCTTTACGTCTGTATGTATGTCAGTCCTTGATACACATTCTGGCCCACATGCAGATGTACAGTTGCACAGACACACTGATACACACACTGACTCACATAGAAAGACACAGATGGCTCAGCGCCAAATAACCAAAAATATTGAACGATAAGGCAGCAACCCTAAAAAGGGATCCCTCTCAGCCCTTCAAAATCTAAAAGAACACAAGAAAAAGAGAGAAGGGCTGTGCTACATAAAAGTTGTGGTAATACGAAATGGTAGCATAACAATAAATTAAACAAATGGTGCTAGAAAGTCTTGTCTTAACAATACAAGTTCTCACATATAGAGATGCCTCTTATTAAGAGGTAGATGCAGCTGTAGGTGCTAAATTCTTTGTGCTTGGGGGGATGTAGTAGATCTGAATGTCATTGATCTCCGTATGTGGATTGAAAAAGACAAGGCAACCTAATAGTGCAATATGTCAGGACTCAATATGATGAAATTTTAATGATAGCGATATTACACTCACATGTGAGAGAGCTTTGACCAGCTCTAGCATGTATCACACACAGTGGTACATTCCTCACTTGTAGGATATGATGAGGGGCATCCACAGTGGTAGGTATCCAGGTACTCAAGAGAAAATAAAAAAATAACAGCAAATAGTGCTCTCAATAAGACCATACAATCCCTAACATTAATCAGAATTATACTCACAAGAGTAGAGCAGGCTCACTGCCCTGTGATGATAGTGTTGATGGTATGATCCCCACCTGGGATATTTCTCGAGAGTAAAGATGATAAAAAAGATTTTTAAAAGTATTAGTT